ACCATTTGTTTTAAAGGAGCACAACTATAGTAAATGTTCTCTTAAATTAAAAGTCATTATAATAACTATTTCCTAAGAAGATATTAAAACCCTGGTTTTTTTGTTGTGTATTAATTTTTTTTTTTAAGTGTATAAATAGAGGTATAAAAATCCACCGTGTATTATAGAATGTAAGTGTTGGCGGTATTCTCTTATGTAGCAAACAAGACAGAGTTTGTTAATTTATAGATTTCATAAAGTATTAGTAGTTTTGAGTGACTGTGAGGAGTCAAAAATGTTATTTTAATTCCTCAGGTGTGAGATCTGAAAACCTGATGCCCTTTTTTTTTTTTTTTTTTCCCTCCTGTAGGATTTTGCACAGAGTTCAGGCCAAATGGATAATCAGTTATCTCAGCAGAGGGGTATGTCTCCAATGAAATGTAACAGAATAGCAGCTGGGTAACAAAATGTGTAGATACTATATTTTACTGTGATTTAAATTTTTTGAATCTGCGTCACGGTGAAAGAAATACAGTAAATTGCAAAATTATTTTGTGTTTTGGGGAGAGGCTCACTACTTCACATTCTGACTTAAACATACATGTCTTCCAATCTGCTGCTCGTCATCAGGAATTCAGGCTGTTTATTAAATGTTGTGTGGTATCATGTCTTGGAATGTGATACTGTGCATGCACATATTTAATTAGTTGTCACAAAGGCTACCTTCAAAAGTTTTACGTTGCAGAAGCCACACAGCCCTGCCAGTACACCCGGGGAGCCAAAAATAAGTAAAATGCTGTCCTGAAATTCTCCTATAAAGTTTGTTAGTTTGCAGAAGAGTTGCCTTTTTTTCCCCTCAGTTATTGTAAATATTGTGTAAAATGCAGTTAACCTCTTTAGGCTAAACATTTGAAACATTCTCAGCTGAGATCACTATTACTTGTTAAACGCATCTGAAATTCAAACGTTGATGGGAATCCAGTCTTCAGTCACCCATATTTTGCATAAAGTACGTCGCTCGGACAGTCATTTCTCTCTAGCAGCACGCAGAAATCCACCACTGTTTTCCTGAATGTTTGGCAGAAGATGAGCAGGTCTAGGTCTAAAGCCTAAGATTTGTGTTTAAAAATCAATTATAAAATAGAAAATTTATGGAGATTTTACCATCAACATTATACTTGTTAATCTGAAGCAGTGTCTGCAGCACAAACTTGCCAGAACTGTGTTTGCATGAGAATCTGCTTGAGAAACATCTAAAATCCATGTGGAAAACTGCTTTTTATTTTCACTATTCAGACTCGGTGAACTTTTAAACAAAGATGACTATGTGGTGACATGTGAGTGTGATTTCTAAACATTCTTTTGTTGCAAAAAAAGCTGACTTAATAATAGTGTAAGCAGGATTATTTTTATCCATTATATCTCTTGAATGTGAAGGCCAGTGTCCCCAAAAACCAAATGGGAACAATAACGCTGCCCGGAATAAAACTTGTTCAGTGCTGCACTGCAACGCGCTGCTGGCGGGGGCGGCCCCCGCAAGCGCCTGCAGGCGTGTGCAGTCCCGTTCACATCACCAGCAGTACTCGCAGGAGGAAAAGCTGCCTTTATAATCATGCTGGGAGCTTCGAGGGAATCAAGGAGAAAAACTCCTTTGCAGCCCTTTGTGGAAAAAGAAGCCACTAAGCTGAGAGTGCCATCGAGGCTGCCCGAACTCGAATGAGGCTGAACTGGTCCCCAGTGGGTCCGAGAACATAAAACGTGTGAAGATGTGTCATGTTCCGATGCGTAAAGCAGAGCGCCTGATCCAAAAGCTTAAAAATGTAAGCTTTTGCTCAGCAGAGCCCTGTGTCCCTGTTTTTAAAGCCAAACCTCTGTGTCTGTAGCTCCACAGAAGTGTCGTCCCTTGAGCTGAGAAGTTTTTGGTAGGGGGAGGGGAGTAAATTACTTGAAATATCTCTAAATTGGCTGCACGTTCGTTATTCTTGTTTTATTGCCATCTTATCTTAAGAGAGGATAACTTGGTAATTTTATGTTCTGTCTCCAACAGAAAAATTTTTCAGTTCTCCAGATTATCTTGAGCTGTCCAACAGATTCCCCCGCCAGTCCTGGGAAGAAGCTCGCCAGTTCTTCTTGAAAAAATAAGTGTTGTATTTGGTTTTAAAGTCCCTAACATCGTCATGCTGACC